CCTCACACCTGTCAAATCAAACACAAGAAACAACGAGTGTTGGTGAGGATGTGAATAAAAAGGAACCCTCATGTGCTGCTGGTGGGAATGCAAACTGGTGCAGTCACTGTGGAGAACAGTATGGAGGTTCCTCAAAAAACTAAAAAAAGAATTCCCACATAATCCAGTAATTTCACTACTGGGTAGTCACCCAAAGAATACGGAAACCCTAATTCAGAAAGCTATCGCACCCTTGTGTTTACTGCAGCCTTATTCACAACAGCCAAATGGCGGAAGCAGCCCAAGTGTCCACCTATAAATGAGTATATAAAGAAGATATGGTATACATAAGGTATGGAACATTGCTCAGTCATCGAAAAGAATGTAATCTTGCCAAATCTTGCCAGAGACATGGATGGAGCTCGAGTGTATTATGCTAGTGAAGTCAGAGAAAGACAAATACCATATGACTTCACCCGTATGTGGAATACAACAAACAGGAAAAAAAAGAGACAAACCAAAAAACCAATTCTTAACTACGGAGAATACACTGATGGTTCCCAGAGGGAGGAAGGGGGGAGGAATGGGGGAAATAAATGAAGGGGACCGGACAAGACGACATTGAAATTCCTTCCAGCCTTGTGGTACCGTCATTCGAAGCACGTGGGAGATGACGGATTACTGGGATTTGGTCGGTTTTAATTAGAGTTGGCTAGCTTCGTCCCTGGGCTAAGCAGTGTGGGGCCGCGCCAGAAACGGGGCCGGCTAACGCTGACGTGTCAGGTGGAGCAAAGCCACTGCATGATGTACGGTAATAACTCAGAGGATGACCACAGGCAGGTCGGTTACTTGCCCTGGGCGTCCCACTGCCTTGAACAAGGAGTAGATCGTCCGTAGAATTCCTTCCAGTGGAGACGCAGCTAGTTAGCTGCCCGCGCAGCTAGAACCTGGCTTCTGAATCTCATTCTGCTGTGCAGATTTTTTTTAACACGCTTATTTTTGAGAGAGTGAGCGAGAGAGCAGGGGAGGGGCAGAGAGAGAGGGAGAGAGAGGATCCAAAGCAGGCTCTGTGCTGAGAGCAGTGAGCCCGACGCGGGGCTCAGACCCACCCACCGCGAGATCATGACTTGAGCCAAAGTCGGACGCTTAACCCCTGAGCCACCCAGGCGCCCCTCAACGGTTTTTCCTTTAGGGGATGCTTTTCCCCTGTGGGGGCGCCAGGCGAGGGCAGCAGAGGCGGTAGCTAACGGGCAGTGGATGGGTACGAAGCCTAGGCGAGCACGCTGGCCCCGGCCCGTTGGGCGTCACGGTCAGATTCTCAGGTTCCCGAGGGGCAGCGACCCGGCCAAGCTCTGGCTAACGGTATCACTGTCAGACCGGCCTATCAAACCTCCTGGCGTGAACCTGAGTGCCTCCCATCATCCTCCGGCTGAGCGGACGGGACTCCAAGGACCAAAGACGAGGAAGAACCGTAAACGAAAGCAGCCTGGGTCCCCGAATGACCTCCGTGGGGTCCCCTGGCCAGACATGCGCGCGTCGGACTATGATGTGAGCAAGAGGCACATTCTAAAATACCAGGGACTTGTCCTAATATCCACCCCCACTACCGTTCCCTCTCCCACCGGTCATGCCCTTCCACAGGTACGCGGGCACACCCTGGTGCTGGGGAAATGGCATCGCCACTCTTCTTTACCCACGTGAAGCTCCCAGCCCCGAGGCAGACTCTCTAAAAGTCATTTCCACTAGGGGCGTAATTTTTGAATGTGAATTTTTATAAAATAGTTGGCTTGCTCCTTAACGAAATCAGTAAAAAAGTCACCAAAGTAGAGTGGCTAAGGGTGATACGCATCCATTTCTAGGGACAGTCTTCTCTTCTCCTCCACTACAGTGTCAGGGAAGGGGAACAGGAGACAAAGGGGAAAGCAAATATTAATATAGTAAAGATAGTTAATATTAATAAAATGGGAATACTAGCTCTGAGGAACAATATTTACATTTAATAAAGGACTGTATACTTTTATTCCATTTTTTCTCATGACAGCTCAATAATGTGGGCAGGATTTTATTTTATTATTTTTTAATGTGCATTTATTTGAGTGTGAGCAGGGAAGGGGAGAGAGGGGGAGAGAGAGAGAGAGAAAGAGAGAGAGAATATGAATCCCAAGCAGACTCCACACTGCCAGCCCAGACCCCGATGTGGGGCTCGAACCCATGAGCCATGAGATTATGACCTGAGCCGAAATCAAGAGTTGGGCACTGAACTGACCGAGCCCCCCAGGCGCCCCAGTGCTGGTATTTTAGAAGCAAGCTTAGAAAGATCCCATGTCCAGACACACATTACCAGGGAAAGAGAGAACCTGCCAGAGCTCCAGCTCACGTCTGTCTCTCACAACTACACTCCGAGATTCAAGTCTACAGACAAAGCAGCCACAATGTAATGTTGAAGTGTTCTTACATACACATTAATGAAATGCAAAAAAAGAAGAAACTGGTATATTTTATCTCGTCATTAAAATAAATTGGGGTTTTTTTTTGGTTTGTCTTTACAGAGGTTCAGTAAAGACTTAAAATGTACAGGTAAAATGTCTATATCAATTATTCCTAAGATGTCTGGTAGTTTAGAAGCACTGTAGTTTGACCAAAGATTGAATTTTTATTATTTTTTAAAAATAGTTGTCTACTCTTCATATCTATGTAGATATTTATTTGTGTATTTTTGGCACAGGAACCAAAGTTACGACACAGTAATCCAAGTTTGGCCCCACAGAAACGGACACGTTGGCATTTAACTTAGCCTTGTGGGCTATCAGAGTGCATATGTGGCCTTTGTCCTGGTTCCCGACACAGAGTTTCTAAAATCCTTGCCATCTCCTGAGTGACAGAGCTAATGGGGGCATCTTTTGATACTTAGAGCAAGCCCTTTCCAACCGTTTCTGAGTTTACGATAAAAAGCTTGGGGGCCCCTAGGCAGCTTCAGGATAAGGGCTGGTTGTCAGAAAAACCAGCCACATAATAGGACAGCTAGAACTTCCAGCCCGATCCCTGACCCCGGGGAGGGATGAGGGCCTGGTGACGGAGCTGGTCACCAACGACCAACGATTTCATCGTGCCCAAGCCTACTTAACGGAACCTCCACGAACACCCCCAAGTGATGAGGTTGGCAGAGCCCCCGGGACACACGGAGGTGTGTGTGTGGGTGACCTGCCCAGAGAGGGGCTTCTCTCACCTCAGCCTACACATCTCACCCATGTGGCTGTCCCTGAGCTGCGTCCTTTACGATCAACTGGTAGTAGTAAGTAAAGTGTCTTCTTGAATTCTTCTAGCAAATTATCATACCTGGGGAGCAGCGTGTGGGACCCTCTCTAGAATTTACAGTCAGCTGCTCAGAAGTACAGATGACACGCTGGGACTGGTATCTCAAGTGGGGGTGCCCCTGAGCCCCTAACCTGTGGGGTCCAGCTTAACTCCAGGTAGTGCCAGAGCTGAACTGTAGGACGCTCAGTTGGTGTCCAGAGTCGAAGAATTAGTTGGGGAAGGGGGTGCCGGGTGGGGGAACCCACACATTTGGCATCAGAAATGCTAAAAGTAAAAAGAAAAGGAAAGCCACACCTTGGCTGTGAGCATTCTGATACTTAGGAAGGCTCGTAGGGGCATCCGAGGTCAAGGGCAAGCGCTAGAAAGTTAGAACAGACTTAGGACAGACGGAGTCTCCTCGGTCCCAGCAAAAGCAAACCAAGCAGCCACAGAAGTGACCGTCGCTACGGAACGCTAGTGAGGAAGACAAACCGTCAGCCCCTCATCCTCAGCTGAAAATGGGGATGTCGCGGCCTCAAGACACAGGAAGATACTTTGAAAACCGCAAGCGCTGTGGCATCCGAGGTTCGTCCAGTTTCGCCGCGAGCCCAAAGGGAAGCGAGCCGTGCCAGTTTCTCACCTGCCAGACCTCTGGGAAGAAGCCAGATGGCCTCGGAGCCATGGCCACAGCCCTCCGCTTCAGGACACAGCCCGGGTCCCGGCAGGGCTCCCAGGATGGGACAGCCCGAGCCCACGCGGCCCGGCCCCGCCGTGGCCGAAGCTAAACCCTCCGCGGCGTATGCCTGGTGCGTCCCTCCACGAGGACCCTATCTCAGCCGTCTTCCCTCCCCTTCTTGGTTTTTAAATACGTCCACAATATTCTCTTTCTGTGGGTCACTGACTTCATCAAGGAAACACTTCCGCCGCCGTTTTGCGTACAAGTTACGCTGCTAATGACTCTCTACGCGGAGAGAGCCACAGAGGGGCCGTTTATTCAGTAACCACCTCGAATCCAGAGTGGGGGAGGTCATCTTTTCCCCTATCTAAAAAGGCCTCATTTAAAAAAAGTTCGGGGCGCCTGGGTGGCTCAGTCGGTTAAGTGTCGGACTTCGGCTCAGGTCATGACCTCACGGTTCGTGGGTTCGAGCCCCGCGTCGGGCTCCGTGCTGACAGCTCAGAGCCCGTGGAGCCCGTTTCAGATTCTGTGTCTCCCCCTCTCTCTCTGCCCTCCCTCACTTAAGCTCTGTCTCTCTCTCAAAGATAAACAAACACTTAAGAAATTAAAAAAAATAAAAATAAGATTTGTAAAAGTGTATTCTAAGAATCTGTAACAGTGGACTAAAAAGTTAAAATCAAGTAAATCAGGAAACAAAGCACTAAAGCTGTTTCCTTGTTTTTTTGGGAAACCAGGTCATGCTTTTCAGATTCCAATGAGAAATTAACCAACACAAGAAGCCTGAGCAGGGATGAATAAATGATTGACCGCGCACGTAATTATTGTGACCTTTACCCATCCACACCTCCAGTCATCCATCCACACGGCATCCTCTAAGTACCGCTGACCCTCCACCCTATTCTGAAACCACACTCACCACTGAGCATAAATCCAAGGGTAATAAACTACCTGCCTTCCTACATGAGGCTTAGAGACAAGGAGGAGAGAGTGCTTCGAAAACACTATGACAAGAGCTAGAAAGGCAGCTATAACAGTTATGAACAGCAGGCACTGGAAGGGCCACGGCCTCCATGGCAGGTTGTTCAGGCGGGGCACTGTGCACATCCGGTCTGTGAGAATGGCCTCCCCTCGAGTCCTGCAAGCACAGCCCTACGGGAGCACAGACGTAGAGACCGAGAGGGCTTCCTGGCACACTGAGGCAAGAGGAGATCTGAAAGATGAGTGGTTGTCAGCCCAGGAGGTGTGTGGGGCGGGGAGGGGAAGTGACGAGGAAAAGGCTACAGCTCTGCAGGACTGAGACACTGGGTGGGAAGCAGCAAAGGCAGGGATGACAAGGAGGAAGGCAGAGGAGGTCTGGGTTGGGACCGGGACCTGGGGTCTCATGAGGATCATATCCTGACTCGTCACCTGTGATGCGCCATGGCGGACAGGGAAGTGAGTGGAAGGCGGGTTCACAGGGAGAGACGCGCCCAGTTTTGAACGGCCTGAGCCCGAGGTGCTCTGGGACGCTGACGTTGAGGAGGCAGGTGACTATCTGACTCTAGAGCAGACAGGGCAGCGTCAGCCACGGACTGTAACCCCGGGTTCT